TTGGGCCATTGGAACTGCGTCATTCAAATGCACCACGCTACAGTGATTCACTTCCGTCAGCAGCATGCAGAAATCAAAAGCTCGTAGGAAATAGTTTAATCCTCGGTGTTGAAACACTGGAGGGACTGCAATGAGAGTGAACCAACTTGGCGAGACATTTGCATGTCTGCAGCCGCCATGCATTAGATTCTGATGCCTGCGATTCGGCTGCAAATGATTGATTGATCATCAGAATTATAATAGAGGAACACCCAAGGAGAAGTACTGGCCTCCCTGAAGACTAACACACAGTGATTGATGATCCTTAACATTGAATTTTGTTCCTACAGATGTAGCCTTTTGTCACCAAATTTGTATTGGTTTGGGAGGAGGCAGCAGAGGATTTCTGGATCTGGGTTTGAATGCTGTCCTAAAACTTCATCACTTCATCCCTCAAGTTGAAGGCTTACTTGCAAATATTATTACTAAGATCCACTCATGGTATTTTGAGCTATCTGTTTGCCAAAAACCATCCAACCAACCTCAGTGAAAACTTTGCCTCCTTCCAAAGAGAGTCATTGACGTAGCACCAATTAGCCAGCATAGTCAGCTAAAAGGGTCCCCAATGACGTCGACAGGCATTTACAGTTTAAGTGAAAATGCATTACGGACCCCCCAGGTAGACGAGATAGGTTCTTCAGTCTATGCTAAGATGCATGTTTATCTCCTTTAGATGACAGTAATGGGGGCCTTGGGCATCTCCAGCAGTGAGAGACACTTTCTCATTGATTTTTGTGGAATCTTGAGCTTGACGAGAGGCAGCGTTTTATCAAGACCTCCCAACTGTTGATCTGACTGTGATAAAGGCTGGCTTACCTGTACATTTGCCAAAGGTGCCGTAGAATGTAATTTGGGAGGTATGAGTGGAATCCTGTAATCCTTTAAACTTCGCTGACAATAAAGACTGTAAAAAAAGTGTTATGGGGATGGGTTGGATCTAAAATGTGTAGCATTTCTTCAATTTATATATTGACTGTTTTAAGAAATAAGGTGTGGAAACTGAATAGTATTACATACCTTGAAAATTACAGATGCTGTATTGTAGTTTTTAAATTCACAATTTTTTGTTTATTTTGGTATAATGATTATTGGCAATATCATGGTAGTATAGACGTTACATTTAATTTGATTGTAGTACTAGTAGCCTCAAGGAAGAACACTGTGAAATTATATAACACAGTACTATAGATCCTAATGTAACAAACAAACCTAAGACATTCAGTGAGGCTGCTTTCTAAATCCTCATCGGAATCATTTTTCTCTGCAGATCTGATAGACATAGAGGAGACTGTTCTGTGATTGAAACCCTGTAGAGGCTACCTCATAACCTCATGCATTTGTTGAACAGTCCCCTGAGGGTGCAGCAGAGTTTATTTTTAGATACTGTGATATTGGATTTGGTAATGGTTTGCTTCTGAGGCAGTGAAGCCCTTTGAGGCACAGTCACGATTCTTTTTGTCGTGGGATTTTCAGCGAGTCTAAGACAGATCTTAGCCTGTGTTTACATAATCTCTAGCTGCATTCTGGGGCATAGCAACAACTGTCAGTGGGGCTTGCTGCTAGGAGCACAATTTATTCTGGCTATGAAAAAACTGCCAACAAGGATTTATGTGTTACATCATACAGCAAATGTTACAGGCACGTTATATGTATAGAGAGAAACCATTAAATCTAAAAGCTTCTATTTTCATAGGCTGTTCCAGGAAAAGTCTGAGAATATTGAACAGTCATATATTTCGATCAAAGCATAGTAGAAAAAGTGATATCAAAGAGGTCCGGAAATCTAGACATGTAGTATTGGTTTTATTCAATGATGATGTGAATCGAGACACTCTGCATAGTTGTTCTAAGTGGATTTAAATGCTTGAACCGTATTATTTCCTATGTAAACTTGTTTCCTGCCAATGTAGTCCTACATTTCCGGTCAGTAATGCTTAAGGTAGCCTGGAAGCAATCTGATTTTCTTATTCTAATGAATAAGGAATGATTTTGTATGGTCCTGTCATGCAACATATCAGTTTTTATTATCACAGTGTCCTAATGGATATATTGATTGAACAGATATGTGGGTCGTATATTGTTTGATATATGTAGGAGATGGCATTAATGTCCATAATAGATGACTAGAAAGGTCAAATTAAGGTATGTCATTCTGTCACCAAGTATTATTCTGCAGACTGGATGTTAAGCTGTCAGTCCAATATATTAGGAGCTTCAGGAAAGAACCCAAGACTTGTCAATAGTATATATATGTATATATATGTGTCTCTCTTGGCTTGTCTATACATATATATATATGTCTATACATATATATATGTATAGACAACCCAATGTGCTGGATGCAACAAAATTGAGCCATACAAAAGCTGCATTGCACCCTCGGCTATCGAAAAAGCAATCTCCAAGTAGTGCAAGGATACGGCTCATTCAGTGCTTCAATGTTTCACCTCCTACCTGGTATTACCTCTGCAAGTGTTGAATGGCTGAGCGGTAAGGCTTTAAAACACAGTGGATCAACAATCCACTGCCCCTATGGCCTCTAAAAGGCTATGGGACTACCTAGTACTTTTTCACATCTACAAACACTGTACTATAGAAGGAGGCAAATCGAGAAATTGAGTTCTAGAAAAGAGTACTAGGTGTTGTCAAACAAGGTGTAAATCATTAAAAACGTTGCGGATTCTTACACTTCCTGACATCTGCTTGGGCTTTGAAGATTATTGAAAAAGTGTTACTGTGCTTTGCTTCATATAGCATGACCTGTCTTGACCTTCTAACCAGGAGAATGAGGTGTGAAAGTCAGTAGGTAGACCGGAGGTGGGGATGATCGATGCTGCTCCCTGTATCGTGAAGATCACCCTCGGTGTAAGGATCAATGTTTCCTGGCTGTCGGTTAAATCTGGATAATCCAACTGCAGGGAAATCTGTGGCTAATTGCCTTCTTCAATTTGTAACGCATTAGAAACTGCCAGAATGGTGGGGGGGTAGTGAAAGAAAAAGTGCACTGGAAGGAATTTGAAAGCAGGATATCTACCAGAAAGCTGACAGAAAAATGGCATAGAGTGGTAAAGGCTGGTAACTACACCAATTGCCGACCCTATAGAAAATGCAAATGAAGTGCAGTGCATTTACCACTGTTACCTTTTTGCTGTAACTTCTGACATTTCCTGGTATTGGAGCAAATGGTAACCCTTTAGCAAGTTATCAAACTTCCTGTTCAGACAGTTCCAGTACCATGCAGTTGCCTCCGCTCACACAACTGTCTTCCTCCTTGGTGCTGAAAACAGTGTTGAGTTTGCTTCATGGGTGATAGTCCTGTTATTAGAGTGTGTTTGTACTCATGTGACTATCACAAGAGTGTTGTCTACCATGTTGTTGGATTTGTCAGGGAAATACTTGGTAAATTTGAATTTTTGTTTGTCAACTCAATCATAATTATGACATAACACAATTCACAGGTTTGACTCTTCAAGTTACAACATGGCAGTAGTGATGTCACATAGCATGCAGGAAAATTACTCTGTACATTCCATCTTCTATAGACCCCAGATTTTGAGATTAACAGTGCACAATGATCGAATAAAAGTTGTCCCATATCAGTACTCATCCATTAGAAGCAGCAGGATTCCTGCCATTTCAAAATGATGGGCAGAAGACAGAAAAACATAAAACCCAGTTTGTGTGCTGAAATCCCATCATGGTCCTGCTACTTCATATTTGATGAAAAATCGATACAGTCGCTGAGGATGATTAACTGATTCTCCCCGGCTGTTCCCTGCCCTGTAAGGTCACTCCAGGCAGAGATTTATCTCTATTTACACCTCACAGACAGACAGTCTAGTCTGAGGGCAGTCTAGAAACGTCCTGGCAAATTTATATCAACTCAGTGGTTGGCAAGTTTTTGTCCATGTTTATTATGACTGGTAGGTATATTTCACTGTTGAATACAAAAAAATATGTAAGCTGGATAAAATTGCTGTAAGCTATATAAAATTGAGATTCACTAATAAAACCAAGAGACCTCCAGTCAGCTTTTAGTCCTTGGCTTGTCTTTGTGAGGGAAGAATAATGACGGTTGTCATCTCTTGACATTCAAGCAAGGTTCCACAGTTCAGTATCTGGTCAGAGCTCGCAGTTTCGGCTTCTCTCTGTCTAAGCTTCCGCTTTCATCTTTTCTCGGTGAAGATTTCTCTTCTTTGAGCATAAAACGTTGAGAGGAGACAGCTTTGTGGAAGTGTGTGTCTCCAGTAGTCACAGACAGTGGCCATGACAGGCCACCTTCATTGGTTGGTCTGACAGACATTGACTGATGAGGTAGTCCATTTACCCATTATTGGTGTCATAAATAGTGAACCATGAACGTGGAGAAGAGAGGCTGTAGGATCAGTTGAAACTTTGGCACAGGCTGTAATAACCTCTTTTTACTTTTTTGCTGTCCCATGCCTGCTCATTCTAGTCTGATTCAATTTTTCTCATGTGAAATGTGTGGAAATCATCAAGAGCTGGTGCCATAACTAGTGAACCATGAACATGTAGAGAACACTGTAGGCTTGTTTGAACCTTTGGTGCATCTACACTACTTTTTATACTGGACTGAAAGGATAAAGCTCTTTTTTTCCTCTCCCGTGTGTATGCAGGACTGGTGAAATGTGAAGAAGTCATCAAAAGCTACATCAACTGTATCCAGCATGTCAACAGGAGAATTGTTTGTCACTGTTAGATGACGTACAGTACAATGTACGAGACTTCATGGAACACACACTTATTCTAGTCAAACTCCTTTTTTCTCAGGTAAAATGTGAAGAAGTCATCAAAAGCTACATCGACCGTATCCAGCATGATAACAGGAGACTGGTGAACGGAGAAGGCTGTAGCTTTTTAGGATTGTAGATTAACCTTTAGTGAGTCTTCACTAGTTTTTATACTGGACTGAAAGCTCCTTTTTTCCTCTGTATGTTCAGGTAAAATGTGAGGAAGTCATCAAAAGCTACATCGACCGGATCCAGCATGTTAACTACATCATCAACGCGGTGGTGGCAGACAGGTTTGAGGAGGCTCAGGAGCAGGCGAGAGACATCGACACTGTGCTCGACGCTGGAGACCCCAACAACCTCTACCCGCCGGACAGCATGCCACTTCTCGGGGTGCCCTTCACTGCCAAGGAGGCTTTTGCAATAAACGGTGAGGCCTTCTTTGTATTCAAAAATTATAACTCATTTGCTTATGTTGGTATTTTTATTGCAAGATCATCCTTAGTTGTAGTCATCCTTAATTATTGCACAATGGTACAGAAGGATGCTTACAGCAACCCTAGCTTGATAATGTAGATGTCAAATCACCGTACCCATGACTTGAATCAACATTCAGTTATATAAGGATGCTGTTGATGGCCTGTCCTAGAATGTATGTACTGATAAAATATACATCACCTATATAAAAGACACACAGACACACACACATATATGAATTATATGTACAACATATATGTACACATCGGAAAATGTACACACTAGCACTTACCAGAGATGAAGAAGTTAAAGCACCCTGGCCTGTTCAGTCAACTCAAATGTTGTTAGCTCCAACCTGTAAACAACAACAGGCATGTAGGTTCAACAAACTATACAGAAAATGAGACATAGGGTGTAGGGATTTTCTTTTATACAACTAGTATTGTCTCTTTCCTTGCTTACATTTCAGACACCTTCCTCAGAGCTTCTATCTGGTTGTGTAAAAGAAAATCGCTCTATCCTATGCTCTCCCGACCTCAGATGAAACTATTTTCGGAAGAAAATGAATCATTTTGTGTTAAACTTTCTTTTTTTTTTTTAAATGTTATCAATGACCCGTCGTTACTCCAGGACTGCCCAACACGTCAGGTCTGGTTGCGAGGAAGGACATCGTGTCCACGAGCGATGCGACCGTGGTGACGTACCTCCGGCAGGCCGGCGCGATTCCGCTAGCTGTGACAAACTGCAGTGAGCTTTGTATGTGGTACGAGTCGAGCAACAACGTCTACGGGACCACAAACAATGCCTACAACACAGGACGGATCGTAGGAGGCAGTTCAGGTAAATATCTGTGTTCAGTAAACCATCAAACTCCTAATCCTAAACCTAGCATTAAACTTATCCTAAACTCAGCATTAAACTAAACACCCGAACCCAACAATGTTTACAGGACCACATGCCTACAACACAGGACAGATCGTCGGAGGCAGTTCAGGTAGATATCTATGGCCCATCCCTCTGCCAGGCTCTGATCCTAGCCTTTTATCCTAATCCTAAACCAAGGCTTAGTCCTAATAGCCTGAACCCAACACCACCTGTGTGATCACAAACAATGTTTACAACGCAGATTATACATGTAGGAGGGAATTCAGGTAGATATCTCTCAGGCAGATTCTGATCTTACTCTTCTAACTGCTTAAGCCAGCCTTAAATCTAATCCTCCTCTCTAACCTTAGCCAACTATATTTACATCACCACAAACAATGCCTACAACACAACTGAGATAGTTGGTGGGAGTTCAAATAAGTTGTAGCAAACTTCTTTGTTTACTATAGCTTAGTCCTACCTGGTGAAAATCACGCATTCAGAAGTCACCACGTGGTGTACGTGGTGTACATGAAACACGTCACACCAACGCACCTGAAGTCTATTGTTCTGGTATTGACAGTGTGACGCATGTTTACATAAGCTGTATTAGCTAACACGTTGTTCAAAGGAAGTTTTACGCAATGTCGTTGCCAGGTATGTCTCGAGTTACATGTGTTGTTATACAATCATGAACTGCAAGGTGGCTCTGCTCAACAAAACATTACTGACACTATGTACATGTTAACTTCTGAGCAGACTCTAAAACTCCTGTTACAGTAATTTGTAAAACAGAAAAGCTTTAGAAGCTAGCTTTTAGATAAGTGTTATGAAAATGAAATCTGAACATTCTAGTATTGATCTGTTCTGTAGTATTTTACACTGTTACTTTGTTTACCTAAACCCTAACGGTTTTACTTTCCAGCATTGTTGATGGGTTTGAATGGTTGCCATTGGCAACAATCTACCAATCACAACAAGCTATTTCAAATGCTTTCGTTTCCGCCTCTCAAGTTCCGTTATCGCCACCTTTCAGTTTCCATGGGGAATCCCTATCGTCATGGGTTTCACGGCTGAAATTAGAAGTTCCTCTTTTTGCTCCCGGGGGGTCTCCCGTAACTTTCTATGTGCGTCAACAACCTGAAAGCTTTCTTCTCTCCAGATTGTTCTGACATTGTTTATGTGAATATTACCTACATGAAGAAACTTTTTGTGATGAAAAAAAACACTGCAACATTAGCATTACTGGGAAAATTACTCAAGCCAAAAGGTGGTTAGAGAGAGCATTGGTTAAAAACTGCTTTTAAGCTTTTAACTACTCTAAGGGACTTTTGTAGCACTTTTTATACGTATTAATTTTGCAGGCATTTCTTTTCACCCCTTGCTGTTTTTCTGGTAATGTATTTTTACTTAAATGAATTATAAAGTGGGAAATGGGAATTCCTTGTGTATGTTCTGCAGTTGTTTGACGTTGTTTATTTTACATTCTGTGAACTTAATGTTCTAAACAAAGTCTTTTGAAGTTTGCCATTTGAATGTAAATGGATGAATGGAAAGTAATTCAAAGTTTGTACAAGGGGTTTGTTGTATTTGAAGAGGGAAACATGAGAAAGCTATTCTCAGTTTCACTACGCTGAAGTCATTTCCTACTGGTTGGATAACGTAATGTCTGGAGATCGGGCGGCCAAAAATGTGACTGAACAAAAGTTACATTGTTTCAATTTCCTCAAAGGATTAATATCAGTGGATTAGAACTCTTCCTCTTTCAAAAACAATGCATATTTTAGTCACTTCTGCAAATGATATCAAACTCCCTACCCTGGTACTGATGTAGTGACTTGAAACTTTCTGTTCTGTATAAATGTATAAAACTAATGGCCAGGACAAATGTATAAAACTCTTCGTGTATAAACTTCACTTTCTTTCTATGAGTGGACGCTAGCTCTTGTACATCACTTGAAGACCCCACCCAAGTGATTCATGCAGCTTTAATGTGTAAAGGCAGGAATGTTGAGGCTAGGCCACCACACCTACCGACCAAATCCAGCTTTTAAACAAACAAAAATCTACCTAGTTTACCTTCAGGTTGTTTAGACATGTTGTTGCTTCTTAACATTGGCATAACTTTGATCAAGGATACTAAGCAAATTTCTAGGAATATCAGCCTTTAAGTGCAACTCCCTGCAATTTTCAGTTGGACATTTTTGCTTTATGGGGGTTATAATCACCAAAGCAATGAAGGTGCCTTGCATACATGTATATTCTCTGTTAGATTTGTTAGGTGTTTCTATCATAAATTCCTGACCCAGAAAACTTCAGACACTGCATGTTTTAAATCTTTTTAAGTCCTAAAAAGGACCAACCATCAGGTATGAAAAGCATGAAAGAGTCACAGTATCAACTTCTGGTAGTTGACTAGTTGACAATACCTTCACTGTATAACATCAGGTAAACTTGTACTTTTCAAATTGAATGTACAAGTTGAATGTCATCTTCACTTATGAGTAAGAAAACTTTAAGTACTTACTTTAATTTGCTGAAATGTCTCCACCGTGAAAAGTCCGTTAGAGATCCTGCTTTCCAATGAATTCTCTGTTTTCTGCTAAACAGACAATTGTACGGGGAATTTTCGTGACTACATTAACCTATGTACTCTGCGGAAGGGTGCCACCGCTGAGGGCAGCTTGGCATATTTTGTCTTCAGTAATGTTTTCATTCACACACTTTTATTATGATGAATTACTTGCACAAAGATAAAACATCACTCAGACTTTTAAGAGTTTTGGTGTTTGTCATCTTCTGATTTTTGCTAGCTTTTCCATGGGAAAAAGTGTTGTACTCCCCCTTTTTCGGTGGACCAGTCCTTTGAAGGTACCAGAAAGGGGAATACCCTGGGACTTTTTATTGGTTACGTGCCAGGTGTCACAAAAACATTCTGTCACCTGATATATATGCACAAAACAACTGTTAAACTCTTTGTTTGTCCAATAGGGAGAAAGAAGGAAGTTGTGTACTTTTTTCTTGGGAATTTGGTAACTTAGTTAAAGCTTTTCTTTGGCTTAACCACAAAGTAAACAAAATTTGCAGCAGTCATGCATGTATTCTGCACAGTGCAGTGCACAAACTTAGCTGGTTTGTGTGTGTGCATGATGTAGATGACCTTTATCTTACCTGTTCAAGGGTAACAATCAAGAATGATGCAACTCTAGAGTAACATTTAGCAATCTTTAGTCTTTAAAATGAAATCATGAACAAACCCAGAACAAACATTCAGTAACATTATACATGGATCAGTATTGTCCTTTCTGGCTTAAGTTAGTAGTTGGTATAATCGTAGAATGAATTATTTTTTTATATGTAAAATTTATATGTGCAAGATGAAAATGAACATTTTGATGAGTTCTTTTGTTATAGTGTTGTCATATCAATACTTAAGGGTGCTTCAAATGTGACTTTTTCAATCATGATAAAATCAACAGATATACAAACATCTTTCCAACAGTGTTAGTGGCAGAAATGAGGAAGTTTGTCATTATGTTTACCTTCTCAGAAGGAAAACATGTTGTTTTTTCTCTGTTTCTTCTTAGTAAAATACTTCTTCTCCAAACAATGTGATTTACCTGAGTTGTATGTTGTCCTGTCCCCTGCAGGTGGAGAGGGGTGCATCCTGGCAGCGGGGGGGTCGGTGGTGGGGGTGGGGTCAGACATCGGCGGCAGTATCAGGATGCCGGCTTTCTTCAACGGCATCTTTGGGCACAAACCGACCTCAGGTGAGCAGAACACTTTACATAAACTGGAACTTACTCGTCTTATGAAGAAGTGAAACACACAATTCCTTTCAAAAAGTATATACACAAAATTGGGTTTAAAAACAGGTGGAAACAGGTAACCAAAAAAATATCTTAAACCACACTATTTCTCAAGGTGGCGATATTATAGACCCTGGTGATATTATGGAATACTAAATCCAGTAATAATTATCTAATTCGTTCCTGACAACATGAAAAGAAAATTCAACTTGAAGATCTCTCTCGCCCTGATATCTGTAGACCTTATTAAGCTGTCTTTAAGTTGTCATCACCTAGACTCAGTGGATGACCGAACTGTCAGCCTTGTCATTAACATTTTTTTACACTTGTCTAATTCTTTTTTGACTGATTTGAAGTTCAAGTCAAAGATATCAATTTTCTTCATGTCTTGAATGTCTTTTAAGTGTCAATATGACTGCCATAAGTTACAACAGTCCAGTTCCCTACCCCCCCCCTCCTGCAGGTATTGTGTCAAACCAGGGCCAGTTCCCCAACGCGGTGGGGCAGAGGACAGAGTTCCTGGTGACAGGGCCGATGTGCCGGTTTGCGGAGGACCTGCTGCCCATGTTAAAAATCATGGCGGGACCCAGTACAGTGCAGCTCAAACTGGAGGAGAAGGTTAGTTCTAGTCCTTACTGCACCAGATAGTGCATAGGGCAGCACCCATCTTTGTTTCATCAGCCCTTGGGCCACACAAATTTGTGCAATCACTACTATAACAGCAGTCCTGCTGCCCATGTTAAAAATCATGGCAGGACCGAGCACAGTGCAGCTCAAACTGGAGAAGAAGGTTAGTTCTAGTCCTTACTGCACTAGATGGGGTATAGGGCAGCACCCATGTTTGTTTCAGCAGCCCTTGGGCCACACAAATTTTGTGCATCACCACAGAGGACCTGCTGCCCATGTTAAAAATCAATTAATTGTTACTATAAAATTTCTGTTTTTCATCAAATCATTACAGATATATCTTACAGACATTGTCTATTTGGAAACAATTGGAGGAAATAAATCACCTAAAGCACCTACATGTATATCACCCCTCACAGTTCTTCGTGAAACCATTTATTTACTGATTCATGGGACATTACAATGTACATCATTTTACAGTAACAAATCCTGTATCCAGTCATATAAAAACAAAATTATCAATATGTACAATGTATTGCAAAGTAGCAGATGTTTGTTATTGTAATTATTTCTGTTTTTGATTTTTTGAAAGTTTTTGGAAAAAACATAAATGTCTACATATCTATTGTCCATTTGGAAACATGCTGGTATCACCCCCAACAGTTCTTCTCCAAACATGTCTGACATGACTCATCAGATGCTCTGTACAGTGCTAAGTAAAAGTGAAAGTTTTTGACATAATCATCTTGACTTGTTACATGCAGGACAACATTTCAACCATTAGTGGTTTATCTTTAGTAGTTAACAAAAATGTAAGATCAACTTTAAAGCAAAATTGGTATTCAATAAGTTTTTAAGTGAAGCTGAACATACAATGTACATGGTAATTGTACGTGGTGTGGTCAGTGTTTCAATTAGCCTTAGTGTACATGGGATTCCATGGTAGCAAAATGAAAACTAACCAGGATTACTTCAGGCTTGTACAAGGTCCGTTGTCATGTTTACCTGTACAAGATGTAGACTTGGTGATTTACACAATCAGTCACAATCAGATTCCCCTGTTTTGTGAAGGCAACGGCATGTGGTACATGTACCTTCTCTTCAGTAAAGATGTGTTTGAGGAATTTTCCTTTCCTATCAAAGAGTTCTAATTCTCTCTTTCCCATGTCAGCAACGATGATGTTCCCTGCCCTGTCTGTACAGATGCCTATTGGAGTTTTCAGCTGACCTTCACCACTTTCCTCACCTCCAAATCTAAACAGAAGCCTTCCGCCCTCATTGTACACATAGATACACGTATTGCCAACATCTGACACAAGAATGTTCCCTTCCCCATTCACAGTGATGAACCATGGAAAAACCATCCCCTGCTGCTGCCCACCCCCATGGCCAGTTCCAACTAGTTTTCTTATTTTCTTCCATGTTCCATGGCCAAGTGCAGGTTGTACACCCACAGTCCTTACAAGTGTGCCGTCCGGCTGGAACACCAGCACTTCTCCATGTTTGTTGTCCCCATCTCCTGTAGTTTGTGTGATGAGGATGTGGTTCCTCCTAGTGTCCACTGCAATCCCTCTTACCCACTTAGTGTGCTGTAGGTCGATTGTCCTCAGCACCCAGATGCCCTGCTTATCATATTGCACAGCAAAGTTAGCAGACTTTGTGCACCCCACCACCCACAGGTTCCCCTCCCCATCCATGGCCACATCATCAGGGCTCATCTTCTGTCCATCTGGCAGGACTGTTGGGAACAGATGGACTTTCCATGGCCAACGGTCTCCCTGCTTGGTTATGACTTGGATTCTTTGGTTTTCACAGTCTGCTAAAAAGATCTCACCATCCTCTGACACTGCAACACCGCTTGGATCATTGAACTCCCAATTTCCTGACCCCTGTTTACCAAGAGACCATACAGATCTGTATTCATGTAATACGTTCTCCACAGACTGACCTGTGCCTTGTGTTCCAGTGCTGCTAGATGCAGTTGTTTTTTGTACAGGTGCAGATGGGAGAGGCTGAATCTTTAGATACCCCAATGCTGGCACTGGAGTGTCTGTGGGCTGAAAGACAGCAGGCTGGGTTTGGACAGGAGTTGGTACCGCATTTCCTCGGTGCTTTCCTACTACTTGTGTCAAAATGTTTTCCTGGCTAAGAAACCTGGCTCCCCCATGTTCCATTGCATGTTCTGCCTGGTCACAGGCATCAGAAAGTTCTTTCCTCACAACTCTTCCCTTCTGTATTCTGTCCAAGTTCTTTCTGTGATTTTGTTGAACTTGAGACAAGAGGTGGTCTTTTCTTTCTGTGAGTTTCTGCACCATTTTGTCAAAGGCCATACTGATACTTTTGTCTATCTGCTGTTTCTGCTGATTTAGGTCTTTCTCTTGTTTGTCCAAATAATTGTAGGTTTCCATAATCTTCCTTACATCGTTAATCAAGTCCTGGATCACAGGTCTCCTGTCCTTTGCAGCTTTTTTGACGCTGGTATTGAGATGACCTTCATGAGCCTCCTCTAAACACTGCTCACAGATAGGCACATGACAAGGTTTACAATAGAGTTGCGCTTCCCGAGAAGGGTGGACACTGCACCTGTTTCCAGACTGGCTTTCTTCACTCGTTTCCACTGATAGTACCTGGTTTTTTAGTTGCTCACAAAGACTTGTAACCAGGCGGTTGTCTGGCAAACCTGTGACCCCCTCAGGTGGCAGTTTGACCAGAAGACGACAGTTTGGGCACTGGAAAGTCCTTCCCCTCCGTGCATGGTCCTGTAGACAGTCCTGACAGAAGGTGTGCTGACATGGCAGCACCTTGGGCCTGGTGAACAGCTCCAGGCAGACACTACAGGATAGTTCTTCGGTGATTGTTGCCCCAAAACTTGCAGTCGCCATTTTCTTTTCCACAATAAAAAGCCTGCAATGTCAGTCAAGTTCCAGTTGCATGACAACCTGTGAATGATATAGGTGTGTGTACATTGTATGGGCTAGTTGTTTATACAGATCAGGTTTCAGCCTACACAAAATCATTACTGGCAATGGCACAATGTGGCTATTTTCAACGTATCGACCATATTATAGGCTCCTAGGTACAGGTACAGGTAAATAAACTCAAAAGGTGTTGGGAATATTCTGGGTACTTAATTCAATAATATATACAATGTTCTGCTCAAATAGGCAGCTTGAGCTGCAATGTCCTTGCCCTTTCAGACCTTGAATTTACTTGGCACATTAAGTTACAAGCTTGTCTGTTATTCTACACCAGGTTGACTTGAAGGCACTGAACTTCTATAGTATCGAGGATGACGGCGGCTCCTGGCTCTGTACTGCAGTTGACCCAGAACTCAAGCAGGCACAGAAAATGGTGAGTCGTGTAGCCTAGCACATCTATCTACCTGTTTTCCGTACCTTCAGGTTTAAGGGAGTCTGTATGGGGTATTTACTTCTGTAAAAGGTGACAGAGCTTAATATATTATTTTGAGAGTGTGTGTGTGTGTCTGCGTGCATTAAACCTTGTGTGTGTGTAGTCCAGTGCATTTAGGTTTTTGTGTTCACAATGGCAAGATAAAATGTTGGGCCTGTATCGCAAGGGCTACCATTGTGCGATGCTCCCTGTTGATCAATTTGGGAACTGCAGCAATATTAACAATGCATTAACAGTAGATTTGGAAGGCTGAAGTTCTTATTATAGCCAGTTCATATTTTCTATGTCATGATTGTATTTCCCACAAAAGATTTGAACGTTATTTCCGGTTATCAGGCACTGCCCATATCTTGTCCTTGGTAGAACTTATTATATGCAGCAAGTCAGTTAGATTTGTACCACGATTGTCAAAAAAAGACAGAGATGCCCTCTAAAAATGTGCAGTGTCATGGAAAAGAGAACAAAGACCAGGTCACGCAAACTTCTTCACTGAAAAGCACTTGATTCGACCGGCTGAAAAAATTACTGCTACTTGACTTCACCCTTTGGTTACTAAGTCCCTGGGAAAAAGAAGATTCTTCAGATCTTTTGGATGGAATAAGTTGTGCCCGTGCCACATAATCATGAAAGGCAAGTAGAGGTGTCCTACAGGTCACTTTCTGTCACACATTGATTTTGACCAGTTTCAGTGGAAAAAAGAAACTACTGTAACTACAAAGTCACTAGAGTACAGGTTTAGAGATCTCCATTCAACATACACAACAAACCTGTACTAGTGACTGTACTCTACATAAAGACCACCTGACATTTCCAACAGAACAACTGTGCCAATTTCTTAATCTGACAACCTTATGGGCAATTAGGCCAAGGCCTGATAGGAAATCGGTGTCACTTACATCTATTGTCCCTTTTTGTTACCATGGAATAATAATACACGCATAACCTTCAGGTATATGTAACATGACCTATTAATGCCATATAACCTTCACACAATGTAAACTCTCTTTTCAGCTATTATATATTGAATCAGATACTTTTGTGCCATTATATCATTCCTAAAAATATTTCATTTAAACTTTCGTAGAGATTCCAAATTTAAATTTGATGACCGTCTTGCTATTCAGATCAAGGTTTAGAAAACCAGAGTGTTACTATAACTGATCCGTAGTTAATATGCAGTGACAACCCCACAAAGCTTGTAGCCTTGGACAGTATCTCTGGTCTCTCATTATACCAAAAAGTCAGGCGTCACTATTACACATAATCTAAAAGGGGTCGCGACCTTGTAAGAATCTGTACCTTTTTCACAATAGAAACTTAATTGTTAGAAAAAATCAGTAGACAAATGACACACCAAGGTCATTTGTGTATGTAGGTCAAGGTCAGGGTATTTTATTGTCACACTGAAGAATAAGAGTGGGAATGGAAGGTAATGAAAAGATGTCTTTGTACGACAACAGTTTCACTTCAAGACACACACTATTGTAACGTTTTAACATTTAACACTGGCTCAAACAAAATAACCCCCATATTCTATGTTCTACATGTACTAACCAGATGAAACTCTTTTCGGACCTCAGTGAGTGTATCAGCAGAGTACAAAATTTATATAATTGGTATGTAATATGATATTACTAATTACACCATAAGGAAACACTATCAGCAGTTACATGTATTTGAAAGAAAGCACATCTCAAAACTGCATGCTATACATCCTTGTATCACAAAAACTTAGCCTCTTCACCAAAGATACATAAAAGTAATGAGCTAGATAGTATTGAGACTGACATAATAGTAACATTGATATACATTAATTGACAACATTGATAAGAATGCAAACAGTTTCAATTCTTGTTTTTCGTTTAACACTACACTAACACAAACAATCAACATTCCTTCTTAATAGTATATACAATTGTATCATCATGTCAAAGATGAAAAGCACAATTTTTCCTCATATTATCATGTCATTTAAAATTCTACATCACTCAACACCAAACAAACAATAATGAAAATTATTCAAGAATTCTTCTACATACAAGGCCACACCAATTTAATTCACTTATTGTGTACAGTTTCTTGTACAACATAAGGCACTGCCCATGTATTAGGCTGTTTAATGCTTCCTCAGAGGTTCATAGTGGTTTGCATCAGCACCAAGTGCAGCAACTGACTCATTCTTATGATCATCCAGTGTACCAGCTGCACTTCCAGAGGGGGGCAAAGGACATGGAACCTGGTAACCTTTCTCAGCCCTGTACAGATTCTGCCTCTGGCCTGGCTGAGACCTTTGTGATGGATAACTATGCATCATCATACCCTTATGAGGGGTTTCTGCTTGTTGCAAAGCTGCCACAGTATTCCTACCCTGTCCTCTCTGGATCTTACTCATGGCAGAGGGGGGAGACGGGGATGGAACCAGGTAGCGTTGTCCTGACTTCTGTATCTGACCATCACTTGTGACAGCATCTAGAGCTGGGAGGTTTGTGTTAGTGAAGCAAGCGTCAGAGTCTTGGCCTGAAAGGGTTTTCCTGGTCCTCCTCTTACAGAGGTACTTCACTGTAATGAGGATGGAACAGATGAGGAGAGTCACGACTGCAGCACTCAGAAGACCACTGAGATAGACAGGCATGGAGATAAAAACAAGAGGAGGACCAGCATTACCATCTGTCAGTTGGGGCGGAACATGTGTACCAGCTGGTACTGGATATTCTGGGGTTGTAGGAGATCGAGGTGATTCTGGAGAATCAGACGAGGAAGTACTGACTGTAGACAAGACTGGTGTAGAGTCAGCAAGGTGTGTTGTGGAAGCAGTCTGAGTAGATGATGGTTTGATTGACATTCCTGGTTGGTCAAAGGAAGGGGAGGTACTGACTGTAGACAAGCCAGATGTAGTGTGAGCCCTAGGTGTTGGGGAAGATGTCGAGACAGTTGATGTTGACTTCTCCCCAGTATCAGAAGATGAGGAAGGACTGACAGTAGACAGGGCAGTTGTTGAGTGAGTAGTCAGTGTAGTGCTGGGTGTTTGGATAGATGTAGATGCTCCTGGGTGAACTACAGGAGAAGATGTGCTTGGACTGGGAGAAACTGTAACAGTTGTCTGTTCACAGATCAGATCTTCAGCATTTACGTCATGTAGTAAGCTTTTCCCCTGCAAGCTGGCAGGTCCAGCACATGTGATCTGGAATTCAAAAAGGTGAGATCCTGTCATCCTTTGCTTAAATGGAAGCATCCTACAGTCACACTGCCAGGGGTTAGAGCCAAGGTTAGTTATTGAGACGGAGGCCAGTATGCCATATGCCTCAGGTGGTAGTGTCTCCATTTCATTGTCTTCCATATCAAGGTTTGACAGCATAGAAAGGTTTGATAAGAGAGCAACAGGAAAAGTATAGATCATGTTGTTGGATAAATCCAGACTACTGAACTGGGGCAGATTTGCAAATGTGTCAGGCGCAATGGTGCTGATTCTGTTGTGTCTAAGATCTAGAGTTTGGAGCTTTGGGGTGCTATTGAAAGTGCCTGCCTCAATACTGTTCATGCCATTGTGATGCAGGTTAAGAATCTCCAGATTATCAAGTCCTTCAAACATGTAGGCTAGGACACTGGTCAGCCGGTTGCCAAAAAGCCTTAGGTCACGTAGAATGGTCAAACCGTAAAATGCATTGTTACTGATAGATGAAATTTGATTATAACCAAGATGTAATGTTAGTAGGCTCCTATACCTTGAGAATTCATACTCCCGTAAGGTTGTAATTTCATTGCCATACAACGTAAGATATGTGATGTTTGTAGGCAAGAACTGAGGAACACCGTTCAGGCCTACGTCACGGCAGTTACAGAATGATAAGGGACAGCTGCTGTGACAGGTTGGTTGCTGGCTGCTGGTGGGTCCTGTTTCCCTCAGGATGATCAGCAGAAGAACCAGCAGTCTCTTCATCTTGTTCCTTAAACAAAGAAACAAAGATCCTGTCTAACATGTGATACAGAGTTGATTTTAGGATATAAGTAAAATTTGATTTTGTCAATCCAGGATGAAATATTTACGAGACAGCATTTTGCTGTGACTTGAAAACATTCTTGGATCATAGACCCATTTGGCGTGAAGCAAAAATTACATTACAAATCAAATTGTTTTAACTCTTTGTTCTGTTTCAACTCTGTTTGGGCAAACAGTCTCACCTGGATTACAGCACAGTCTGTAGGTTGCCTCCTTCTTGTCAAACACAGAGTAGCCGATGCTGATGTTGTGCTTCAGTCTGATAGACTATGTGAAATGAAATAAAATGTCTACTCTGACACATTGAACATTTATTGAACTTTGCTTAGCAAATCATGTCAACTGTGCTTAGCTTACTAGTTAGTTGGAGCAGCCACAACAGAGAAAAATGCTGTACAACACTTCACCCCAACCCAGATGATCAATCAGACCTTTTAGCAACTGTGTCCACGGTGGCTGAGTCTACCAACAGGAAAGGATGCAAACCCATTGCTTACTTTGTTGTCAGGAAACAATGAAACTGCACATTTTCTTACAAGTTTTTTTTAATTTTTGCATGGCTGTTGCTAAGGTTGGCATACCCGAAATATTGAAATTCATACATTCATTTTTGCCTCTTTATTGTAAAGACATTAGATAATACTTAATAACCATAGAAAGCTCATAAAAGTGACAGGTGTAGTCGTGAAATCAAGCAATAAGTCTGAGACTAGGAAGAAGAAGTTAGTAAAGGAGACCCACAAAAGCCTTACTTGTAAAGAGAAAGTACAATATATAATAAGTCACTCAGAAAAAGACTTACTAGTACTTATCAGGCTCGTTCCTCCCCAAGTTCTTAGGATCCCAGGCAACCTTTTGCCAAAAAGTCTTCTAAAATGACCAAGGCTCGCAGTCCTCACAGCTTCCAACTCACCTGATCTACGACGAAGGAAGAAGTGTGTAGCCTTAAATCTGAAAACACCCTATCTTGTTTTTGTCACATGGATTTGTAATGGTATAAGGGAATTCTGTTTTTTGACTTTGTTCAAAAGAGGAATTGGGTCTGGTGACAATGAAGAAGTCTGTTGTCTGTTATATTTTTTTACCACCCTATAGCTACAACCGTGCATTACTCATATTTTGTTTTTGCCACATGGTAGTTAAATGTAATAGAAATAGGGGTTTCTGTTTTCTTGGCTTTGTTCAACAGAGGAACTGGACCAGTTGTCCAGTTTCAGCATGAATGAATGAGAGCTCCTTAGTTTTCAGATGGATGGTCTGACTTTACTCAAGGCCCAATGGGACTGTCAGAAATCTTGTTCAGACAAGCCCTAGGTGCACTTACCTGGGTGGCTTAAGCTGCATGGGTGCAGCAACAAGTTATTTCCAACTTGACCCTTATTAGGTCAATCTGCAGTAACCTTTGTATAATTCCTGACACTCTATATTCCAAGCAAATGCAGATAAACACCGAAACAATACCTCCATACCTGGAGGTAATACCGTATGTTCATCATCCTTACCACACACTTTAAAAAAGTTAACAAACAGCACTAAAACTTAAGACTCCAGAACTCGTTCCTACATCAGTCTATCAGACTCTACAATCAGACTGTATAAACTTGTCATACATGCCTGGGATGTACTGTACATATAAGTAGTGTATATATCTATGTATATAAATTATGTACACGTATGTAATAATGTTATGTGTTTATTTTAATGTAATGATGTAAATACCAATACCATTCAGGCAACATTATAGTTATATTTTGTATGTCTGCAATGTTGGTATGGAAATAAAGAATTGAATTGACTATTTATAATCAACATGATAAATACCTAAGTTTGTGACCTTGCAGGTCGTGACCCATGTAGAGAAGGAGCTGGGGGTCAAAGTTCAGGAGGTGAAGATGGAGAAGCTGAAGTACTCATTCCAAATATGGTCGGCGATGATGTCAGAGTCAGCTGACAACCAGACCTTCTGTGAGCTCATGTCGCACAACGAGAGTAACCCTGTCAACCCATATAAGGTAAGGGGTGTTCTAATACAACCCATATAAGGTAAGGGGTGTTCTAATACATCCCATATAAGGTAAGGGGTGTTCTAATACATCCCATATAAGGTAAGGGGTGTTCTAATACATCCCATATAAGGTAAGGGGTGTTCTAATACATCCCATATAAGGTAAGGGGTGTTCTAATACATCCCATATAAGGTAAGGGGTGTTCTAATACAACCCATATAAGGTAAGGGATGTTCTAGGGATTACGCTATCATTTACTATGAACCATTATAAAGTGTGGTAATAAAAACTTCAACAACTTGTATATTGCACTTGCACTCAACTTCTCTCAGATCCGTCAGAAACAATTATTTATTTTAGGATGCCCAGCTGATACCAAGAGGACACTTTGAAATACTTCGAGGCATTTAACTATATACTGTTAGTAGTATCCTCAGCCTAACCCTTACAACCCAAGAATACCAAACGATGAAACGGATTGTCAGTGAGTGGAATCATCCGGGTTTGTTAAGAAACTGTATTTCATATTTGAATCATACCATGTGGCAAGGTGACATGAAAATCTGTTTTGCGTTTATTCTGCAGGAGTTTGTGAAGTGGATGTTCGGGAAGTCGGAGCACACCCTGCCAGCCATCGGCCTGGGGATGACTGAGAAGGTGACCCAGCTGACCACCGAGCAGAACAAGAACTTCATCAAGATGTGTGCCAACCTCAAGACAGAGTTCGAGAACATGCTCGGGGAGAAGGGGATCCTGTTCTACCCCTCCCACCCCAAGCCTGCTCCCAAACACAACGCCCCCCTCCTCACACCCTTCAACTTTGCATACACGGGGATTTTTAACGTCCTGGGCTTCCCGGTTACCCAGGTTCCCCTGGGGCTGGGGTCGGAGGGCGTGCCCCTGGGGTTACAGGTCGTGGCCCTGCCCTACAATGATCACATGACCCTGGCAGTGGCCGTGGAACTGGAGAAGGCGTTTGGGGGGTGGGTAAATCCGGGGAGGGTGGAAGAACCGGGGGACTGATAAACAACAACAGAAGTTTGTTTTATTTGTTTGTTTGAGGTTCAGTCACATTCGTCATAGGCTGTCGTACGATTGCGATTCCATGGGAATTTACAAAGCACTGGCTGTGACAGAACCAACTTACAAGGATCTGAAACAGCCTTTTCCATAACACAACAGTCAGATTTTGCTTGACACATGCACGGCTGTTCCAATAATGTCCTCAGTTTGTAATGGTATGATGATTGCATGACGTTTGTGACTGACTGGAACCTTATTAAGATCCACCACATAGATAACTTATCACTCTCCAAGGATTGCAATTACACACTACAGGACAGGGCAACAATATCAGGCCACACCAACAGGATTTGTTGTTTCTTAGAGTTTTAGAAACGAACTGGTAAGAGTGCAAACTGAGAAAGAATATGATCATACAAAAAACTGCTTGCTGGCTTCTAATCTCAGCATGCACATTTAATAGCCTTGGAGACAAAGTCTTAAGCTATGACATTAGCTTATCTTTTGATAGGTTTTCATTTTACCTGAGAAAGGAGTAAGTTTGTTGGAGTGTACTTACGAGTATTTGTCTCGAGACAGGGTCACATGAGAAACTACAATATTCTACTTGGCTTTCTATTTGCTGCTATGAGTGCAATATGCAGCTTGCTTTGAAGCTAACTGATTTTTAACCTACAACCTGCTACATTAGCTGTTTGGCACCAAATTTGTATTATCATATTAAGCAGCAGAGAGAATGTTAAGTGGTTGTCAGGCAGAGTTATGTGGTGACTTTTAAGTGAAGTGTTTAGAAATTATCCAATGAGAATGTCAGAAAGGTTTCGTGGAGAGGGGGGGGGGATACTAGTATGTAAGAAATCACATCAGAGGGACCATGAGAAAAGTTACAGGGAAGTGAACAAACAAGAAAAGAGACTTGATAGGTCCGGAAATAAAAATCCGTAACTGATCCAGTAATAGAGTTTGAATTTTCTTACGAAGAAAAGAGACTGTGAGATTTTATTGCTGACCCAAAAAAACATGTAAAACTCTGATTTTTTCACAAACTCCTGAAGGCTGTTAGATCTGGAAAATGATGACCATGTAGCCCCATATGGTACAGACAGGCAACATTTTTTAAGTAAAAAAGAAAACCTGCCAAAATCAAACTGTCATTTACAGAATAAAGTTTTTGTGGTCTGAAATGCCAAAACTTAGCTACAAATTTGCCTGAATTCTGATGTCAAAATCTTCATGAATTCTCAGCTGTTGTTTAGTGGTTTTAAATCAGACCGTGTGTTTCTAAGTTGATGAAAGTTGAACTTCAAGGGCTGGATCAAGAGTTAAAGTACAGATATCAAAAGATATTTCCTCGAAAATTATCAGAAACAAGCAAACTATCTAGTAAGTAACCACACTAGCTACTGTAGACCCTTGAGCCTTGGTTTTGAGACCTTTCAATAACTTAGCACTATTACCAGAAATAATTTGAGCTAATTCCGGCTTCATCTGAGAACAGTTTTCAAACTGCTGTTGGAGTCTATTATTTTGTTGAATGGACCAATATAAAATAAATTTTCTACATTTTGGTTGGAGTACCCAATGTGAAATCAGATCTCTACTTTTAGACTTATTACCACTGTGAAAGATTTGTTTCTGTTTTGGCATACTTTAGTCAGTAATAACTCGAGAAGCTATGGATTGTGATGATATTTGGTATGTGGGTAGGTGTTGCTGTATACTGTTTTCTGTATTTAAGACTGTTTTTCTGATCGCTATGCCAAAGCTACATATGTATGGAGCCTCCTATACTGTAAAAGGCAACTTTGTGTTGGGGTCCAACTTGTGTTACCAGTATGTATGTATGTATGTGTGTATATGTATCAGTGTCTATGCATTGTATTCCATAGCTTTTGTATGTAGCACTTCAGCATACCACACCAGCTTTGCAGACATGTAATTCCAACCAAGTATATTACATTGAGGTTAAAGTGTTTGTTATATGATCTGACACTGATCTCTATATTTGAAAGTTAGCACATATATGTATATATTTGTGATGTCTAAGTCTGTGTCTTCTGTGAAATACATATCTTTGTGAAAAACTATGTGAGAATTATGATATGTCCTGTATATGCTGCAAATGTTTGTAATTGTGTCTCTTATATTTGTGATGATTTTGAAGTTGCTGTGACGGCTTACATATCTATTGACACAGTATAATAATATTACTTGCTCTTATATGGTATGATCACAGCACTGCGTGAATTATTATATTATTATGCTTTTTCAAGAATTAAAATGCCTGGAACAATTCCTATGTTGTCCTTTGTTTACTTGTATGGTTCTCTTCTTAGACTAGTAGTATGATTCTAATATATTATACTATCTGGAAACATAGTACCTCTAAAATGATATTTAACTGTTATATTGGATTTCAAATATAGTGGTAGTATATTGTTACCAAAAAGGTATTTCAGTGAAAGGTAAATTTTTAGATCTGTCTAGTTTTGGCCAGTTCCTAACGTTTTCCAGCAATCAAGTCAAGTCTGGTAGAGGCTACGTCGAAAGCCAGGTCCTGAAGTCCCACTGTACTGTATGTATGAATGTAGTGAAATAGCCACTTCCGGTTGCAACAGTTTCGCCACAAGGTGACCGAGAAATGTTCAGTTCTGCAAACGAGGAGACCATGAGCTCGCCAGAAAAATAAAATTAAAATTGTAGCTTAAGAGTTTTTCATGGTCATAATCGATAAAGTATTAAAATTGCACGACAAAAATGTTTAGAGAGTGAAGAAAGTTGTTTAGGAAGGTGGTTTAAGATTTAATTTTTCGTCTTCATCAAGTATAATCCGTAAACCCCAAGAGAGCCTAATTTTGGCCGTCTGAAACCGGAAGTGCGGAAAAGAGGCCGTATCTCGTTAACGGAGCGAGTTTCACTCCCGGATTTCGGCGTTTTGGGAATGGGGAAACGCAGAAGGCTCGTATGGGGGTTTCAAATTTTGGAATTCTTTTCTGATTAAAAGTTATTCCATTGATATTTGGCAGTCGGTATGGGATGTTTCATACCTATTTTGGTCCAAGGTTTAAAGTTACATAAAGAAATTTGGCCTATATGTATTTTTTATTTAAAAAATTTAATTATTTTTCAATAACTGAATTTTCGGTATTTTTCTCTTAATTTCATGTCAGATTTTCTCATAAGTGATATAAATGGAAAGAATGGCTCATTATACACATCATTATATAATATTTTGCCAACTTAAACAGTCATTTTCCTTGTTTGCACATATATTATGATGGCAACCCGCATAATACCCTATGAATAAACCACAACAGCATATCTATATCCTATGTATATAGTTCAGCAGGGCTCCCATAATCGCTCACTCAAAATGTTTTGAGAAAAGTCAGTATGGAAGTTGTGGTAAAATAAATACATTGGCGCCCAGGTTATACTTAATAGTTGTTAGAGAAAGCATCACTACAAAGTCCGACAACACAGGAAGTCGTAACTGTCATAACCATTCTAAAAACAGGAAATCGATAAAATAATTGGTCAACAAAATAAAAGAAATCCAAACAACTCTAACCGCAGTTTAAGAATAGGTTGTAAAACATGTTCCAGTTACAAACAATAGAATAATGATATGACAGTGTAGCGGTAAATCTGCCGCCTTCGTTAGACATTCAAGCTAACAAACTAGCGTGGCTCCAAACAGATTAATGGCTTCGCCACTTCGGTTCTTCTTTTCCCTCTTCTTGTAAATCTAACAGGTGGCAATAAGCGTCCTTTCCTAAGTAAAACTTTCAACTGACAAAAAGACGCAAAAAGACGTACAGAAGCAATCTATTAAGTTAAAGTTCGTTCATCTTCTTGGAGGTTAAAACCAATGTTTCCCTCCCCTCCTTACCCCCTAGTTGACCCCCTTCCCCGCCGCCCTCCTCCCGACGCCCGTGTCCTGACGGAAGCGCGTTAACCACCTGCCCGCTGCCGCTATTGTCCCCGCCCTGCCCCGCACCTGGTGTGGAACAATGGTCCCGCCTCCGGGCACAACGCCTGTCCGGTCTGCACGCGACTCCTCACATCTGCCCGCTGTTCCACCCACCGCACCACTCCCTACGGAAATACAACAGCAGGGTACAGGTCTTAAGGTGTGATCCAGGTACATTAAGCACTTCTTTTCATTGTAGAGTCAAACCCTAGTCTTTTCCCAGTACGTTGAACCTGTGTGCTGTACACAGTTGGTGTCTGTTCAAGATCTACTTGTGGCGGACAGGAAAAGGTTAGCCTAAGTTAGTCGGCTAAAGTTGATCGGGAATCACTTCCAGTTTTCAACTATTGAAACTTTGCCACCAGGACAGGGTTGTGTGATACGTTCGTGATCGCTGAACTCACTTGTCCTGTCAACTCCTAAGTTTTTGTACTATTTGTAAATCTGCCTAACACAGACAGATAGACAGACAGACTGACAGACGTCTAGACCGAGTGCGCAGTCTATCAAACCGCGACAGCCCAACCCAAAGAAGCAACAGGTAGGATCCCGTAACACTAAGCAGTGCTTCTCTGTTCAATGTCAAGTCAAACTCTAGTATGTTTCAGGTACGCAAAAGTACTTTTCAGGTACGTTGAACCTGTGTGTTGTATAGAGTCGTTGTCTGTCCTTCTATTGTCGCCGTAAGTGGAAGGTTAGCTTGTGAGTCGGCTGAAGTTGATCGGGATTGACTTCCAGTTCTCAAGTATTGACACTTTGCCGTCAGGACAGGGTTGTGTGATACTTTCATGATCGCTAGCCACTCGCACTATCTATTCTCAAGTTGTTATTCAATCTATTTGTAAATCTGACAGACAGACAGGTCCCAGTCCAGTGCACAGTCTCTCCAACCCGGCCGCCTGACCTGAAGAAGCAACAGGTAGGAAATTAGAAGTAATCTTTGTTGTTGTATCAAACATGGCAGACCGTGCTTACCTTAAAACATGAAAAATATGGAAATGTATTTTAGTGTTTATAACCAAGTATCACTGTAGGTGTAATAGCATAAATAAAGGTAATGTTACTTATCAAAAGGATAAGGAAAAGCATGTTCTTTCAAACGTACAAGTAAAAGTTTCTTGTTACACTAACACTAAAATGCAAGGCCTCTAGCATTTACATTCCAAAGGTTATCTTGCAAATTTAAAGTAGTCAGTGTTTTCTTCGCCACATAGACATATTTGGCATATAATGTTTTCACCAACAAACGTTTGTCATAAAGTTTTATAAAACTTTCGTACAGACAAG